AGATGAGCCGCGGATGGTCATTCGATCGATCGGAGATCGATTGACGGATCGGACTATAGCGTGACGCGAACCATCTCGAGATCATGACGGCTTAATCGACACGTTTATTTATTTATCTGCATTTTTCATCGAATTATAAAGTTCTCACACTTGTTCGATTTATCCTATCGGAATCCGGTCTAGGATTTATTTGTATTGTCAATATCTTATTTTTTTTCTAGATCTAATTAACGATGAGTTAATGACGTGAAAGCTCTGATGAGGTTTGATGGAAGGTCATGAGAGTTTTCGAATTATTTATCTATATCTATTTTTTGTTTACGCCTATCAGTGGATTAGGGGAATGAGTTGTATGGATTATTTAGAGTATCGGTGTGATTGATTTTTTCATACCTTAAATTAATGATAATTTAATGACGTGAAAGTTTTCAATTTTCAGAGTTACTCTAGTTATTCGTTTATCCCTTCATTTCGATCTTAATCCGTAAGAAATTACTGGATGAGGTTTGATAATTAATATCGATTTAGTTACACGGCTAGAAATTTTTTTCAATTTTCTAGAAAATATGGCGCGTTTGAAAAATCGTTATGAGAATTTTCATAATTTTATATTATTACGGAATAAAATTCATCAGTCACCCTACGACACACTTGGACAAAATTTAATTTCCGGGACTGATCCCTAAAAATAGCGGGAAAAAATTCAAAGTTGGATTAGAGATCGTGATGAGTGGTAGATTGCATAAGTCATCAGATCTCAGTAAAATCCATACGTCAATTCTGTCCAGTCTACCTCCATTAAAATCTGCCACACGAGCAATTCCGAATGTGTGGACGAATGAAAGTCCCGAGATGAGTGTCGACGATTTCCAGGTTAGAAATTCTCTCTGGAAGACAATCTGTAAGAGACTGCGCGGTTTGTTTAATGGAGCCGCGACTGTAGAAATAAAACGTATACCTGTAATTTTTTTTTTCTTGGGTCGACGACGAAACGCCGGAAGCGATCCCATAGTGCCATTACCGAATAGTAAGTCCGTTAGAAAGGACGTAAACTCAATTCGTCGCCTATACCTTCTCCGTCGTGTAATTAACCCATGAGCCTACTTTAAAAAAAAGAGAGAGAGAAAAAAAAAATCCCTCCGCGCGCATCCCAGTCACTCCCACAATCAGAATGATTCACTATTTATTTATCTTGGCCTTTTATTTTTCAATGGGTATCAACGTGAATGATGTTATCACCGGGGGTCAGAGACCGTTAGACGAGGAGGTTGTAACCTCAGAGAATTTTCAGACCAGGTGATTAAGTTTAAATTATTTCGCAGCTGGACGTCATTCCTCTTCAATAAAAAACGTCGGAGTGTCGGAAATTTTTGGCGGTTATTTTCCTCTAATCCCGTGATTTTTACCCGCGAAATTCCCCCCGTCCATTCGAGAATAAATACCAAACGATTCGAATTAATAAAAATTTAATATTTCCACTGGAAATTATGAAAACGATGAAAATCATTTCTGCTTCCGTCATTTCAATCACTCGTTTTTATTATTATTATTTTTAAACTTATTATATTATTGGCTTGACATCAGAATAATTTTTCTCCGGTGTATCCACATTGGTCCGTCATCAAAGCAGAAAACCGTTAGACACCGTGCCCAAAGGATCCCGACCTCTAGTGTTTATGGGGGACACACCACGGGTAACTCGACTCATCGCCTCAATTCCCGATAGAAAATATATACACGAAAACCCACGGTGTGTCAGCCAAGTGCAAGCATTATGTGGCGTTTCACCGACTTGTGAAGATAAAAAAAAAATCCGAGAGCACGACTGAAACCGCCTCCCATAATGCGTAATGCCCAGGTAATAACGATTTACGCGTCAGTATGACTGAGGATGAGGTCGAGGTTAATAATCAGGTTTTCCTAGTTGCCTCAACCTCCTAAAAACATAACACCCATTACACCCAATCATCCAGCGACTTATCAGCCACTTGAAAAAGTCAGCTTTTCTATTAAGTCCTCATAACCAATCCCATATGTTAATTAAACAATTAAGCCGATAGGGATTTTTAAAATGGCGAATAAACCCGTAATGACGACACAACTTGTTATTACCGTCAATTGTAATTCCCCACCATCTCGCATCTCGGTAAATTACCCCGAATTCCGGTTTTATGGCTCAAGGTAATTGGAATGATGACTTTGAAGAAAACCGTCGATTGGTGATAATGATCGATAAACTGAAATCGAAGCGATCTCAATCGACTTAATGTGTAATGCTGACTTTCCCGAAGACAAACCCAGTGAGTTCACTGCCATAAACGTGACGCTTATAAGGATCTTGTCCTACTTTTCACTGGAATCGGGAAGATATTCGAGAGATCCCGTGGTATATCACCCACACCCTAAAAAAATTCAATGATAATTACCAGAAAAAGGGATTATCATCACCTGAGAATTATCTCTAATTATCTCTCCTCCGATTTATCGCGGATTACCAAATTTATAAATCAATGAACGATTTCTTGTTGCCGTCTACATGAATTGTGTACCATAATTTTTACTGAATTTCCACATACGCAGGATATGTTGAATAATTTTTTATTTAACAATGTGCATCTAGTGGTCATTGTTCTGCCCATTGATCTGACTATTGACACTGGGGCACCAGATATGTGGGGATAGGTTAGGCTGACGGGTAACCGTTCACCAGGTCCCTACTTGGTCACTCCTATTTTCCTTACTCGGTATTAATTACATGGGGCATCGGTATAAGGGATCTAATGAAAACGTTTCAACGATGGGAGAATAAATACTGAGATTGAATACGGTTATCTGGTTAACCCTCGGGGTCTCCAGCTGATGGAAATCGATTGTTGGATACGTAACGTAAGAATTTATACTCCGGTTTAACGTGTACCTGCCTACGTACGACAACTCGACGGAATCAGGAGGTTGTAGGTACAATCGTATCGGTGTAACGAGATCACAATCCATCGGTTACTTTCTAGGTGGGTGAAAGCATCGGATTGACGGTCATCTGCAAGCTCGAAATCACTTTATACTTTTTTCACTGATCACTTTAGCGAGTTAAATATCCAGGATATAATTACTTATCCCTAAAAAAATCTACATCTACCGAAAAATTATAATTATTATCTGAAATAATTATTTTTTAACTTGAAATTACTTTGAAAAATCAAGTGCATCAGTTTTATATTTTTATTACAAAATGAAAAGACATAAATTATGAAAATTTTGTCTTTTTATTCATGAGTGCGAAATCAGATTTTCTTTGGAGAGGCAATCACCAGGAGATACTGCCTCGAGGGAAGATGAGAGTATTCACCCCAAAAATTCACCGAATCCCCGAGTAAATCCTGAACCCGTGATCTCATCTCCCTTTCTACCTCGTCCCTCGGTGTCTCAGCCCTTCGCCCCCAGGACAAAGGGTATTTTCGTCCTGTGACCGAGGAACAAAGAGCTCTAATGGACGTGGAAATGACGACGGATAATTTCATTCCCTGGTCAGCTCTCCCTAGCTTCCTGGAAATGTTCTTCAGCAGGGATTCACTCACGGGAAAAACCAGTCCTCGTCTAGACGATTTTTTTCACCGTTTTTTGCTTTTTTATTTCTCCTCCCTGGCAATCTTTTGGAGAGAAAATTCTCCGGTGAATAGGAGCTAGGGATTGAGTATGCAAATGAGAACTCTTCGGGAGGTTTATTAGCAATCCAATGCTGGATTACACAACCGGAGGTGACATCGTCGGGGTCAAGGTCATATCTGGTGAACGGGAATCATCAGTAGTCCTGACGATCATCATTGTATCATCGTCACACCAGCAGGAAGTGAATTTATCCAGCCCCTGGTGACTTCCGTCCTCACCAAATGTGGCACAAGGCTGACGTGTCGGTTGAATTCTCATTTGCAATCAGACAATCGCCAAAAGTTTATTCAAATTCACTTGGCAAGGCTCATTCTGCATTCAAACCGCTCGATAATTCCAGTTACTCACCGCAACTCAATTTATCTTGAGACACATCAGAGGACAATTTCAATTGGCATTGAGAGCCATCGGTGCAGGAATAAACTATAAAAAGATATATCTGATGATTATTCAAAATTCTTCTGAGGGCGGTAAATTATTGGAGGATTATTACCGTTCGATTGAAATTACGTTTCAATCCGAGGAAATTTCTGGAATTGCGGAGGATCCGGTGGTGAAATCCCCGATGAGTAGTAAAACAATTAGAAGGGAGTAGGTGTTGACAGGATGATCATCGAAGGTTCTTTCCAAGGAGGAAATTCACCCTGACGAGGGGTGAGACCGTCAATCTCGCCTTTTCACCCTCAAGGGGAGGATGTGGGAACGATGTGATGACGAAGGCGGACCCTCAAGAATTGTGCCATCAGTAGTTCTTCATCAACGTGATGTTTCCGTTAGTTTCGTCAGAAGAATTGAAAATTATTTCAAATAAATGGACGTGTTGTTAAGACGAGATGAGGATTGATTGGAATTATTACTCATAATCTACGCCTCAGGCTCGTGCTAAAGTCCAACATCGGTAGTGAAATGATCGGTTGTGTGGCACAAGGCTGCAGGTTTTTACAGTCGTCTCTTGTTTTCACGGTTTGCAAAATTTTATTGTTGAGAATAATACCATAATCAGTCGTGAATGGCGTGTGACAAACAAAACGTGACCGATGGTTTCAACGATTTCAGCCTCAACCTTCAGTCAAGGCTGCTGCAAGGAAGAATGTTCGTTTATTACCGCAACATGATTCTGTCTCCTGTTCAATCAAATAACATTGTTGCTATTTTATTTCACATTAAACATAACAGTCTTCCTCTCAATAATTGTTATTACATTTCAATTTTCAGGTAGAATGCAGATCTATTCCTTAAAAAAAATCGGAATAAATCCACGATTTAATTAAATTAAGAAAATTATTATTACATTATTTCATAAATAAAAGGAGATAATTTTTTTGTGTGTGCAGTCCTCGAAATGCCGCCGCCTGGTGATCAGCGCTAGGTGGGCCCTGAAGTGATGGCCTCGATACTTGGTGATGGAACGGGCCCGGGGGGTCCTGGACCCACTAGGTGTTTGCTCCTGCTCCAGAGATCCATTGCCATTCAGCTCAGCCGAGGTCCACCCCCCTCTGTTCTCACCACCAATCATGACACCACCAAGGAGCATCCAGCTGACGAAATGTGGATGTACGACAAGGGCTACAATTTATTCCAAGTCAGTATAAAAACAATGAATAATTAATGGTTACGGTTGACGACAAATACATTAGCACTAAAAAAAAATTCCGTCTTCGGATCATCATCAGCACCGCGACTTCCAACATTCGGTGGTTAATTAACCGCTCAATTATCCTCCCAACATTATCTTCCGGTGAAATTACGTCACGGTCGATTAATTTTTTTTCAAGTGCCACTGGCATTTCTTTTTGCTGCGTTATTAGAAGTCTGAGAATATTTATTGGTTGAGCTTTGATTAAACCCAGACTAAAAACAAATTTTAGTCGTGAAAGGGTCTGAATAATAATACATTATATCACTTCGTGCGGTAACTGGTGAATTACACACGCGAATTATCAATTGTCGATGCAATTTTTTGATCATCAACTCTCGAGAAGTGGATGCTATCATTTAGATGGTCTTTCGAAACTTGAAGCAACAAATTAATGAATGGGGTGCGGGTTGTTACGTTTGTTCGACGGTTGATCGGTAATTTACGACGAGGGAGGCGCGTTCTGTAAATTCTATGATTGGACACACCGTTATGCAGCTATGAAATACAATGAGTTACGAGCAATTGCGAGATCGGCAGATGTAGCAAGCGATTTTTTCCGATTCAGGGACATATTTCTGGAGGTTTAGGTGCTTGACATTTGATGGAGCTTCCACAGAAATTTTCTAGTTAAAATTTTCCGATCAAAGATAAATTAATAAATTCATAAATCACCTACATCATATCGAAAATAAAACATTAGCTGCGCAATTGCAACCCCCACTTCCTCAAATAAATTCCGGGTACCAACGGAATTGTTAAAAATTGATACGACGTTTTGAAACCGATATTTTTACACCCGTCTGGCTATTTATCATCCATGACCATGTAAATGTTCTTTCACTGGCGTATCCTTATCGACCATGAAAGAGAAACGGTATACGTTGTAACAGTAAACGGCATTACATTTTATTACCCGGTTCAATGACAGTCCTTTAATATTTAACTAACCGCCCGGTCAAGTGTCTGCACATGTGTTCGGACCGTTATCTCCCAGCGCAAAGTGTTATCACAAATATTTTAAATGTCCATTTTACTGCTGGGGTTGTTCGCGGCGAAAAAAAAAATTCGGTAAAAATGACGGAACAATTGGAACAAGTCAACAATTTTATTGCGGTTTTCTCGGTGGATGGAATTTGTTTATTCATATTGAAGTTTCGATGATTTATTGGATACTGGAGTTGAAAAATAAGTCGACAAATTCATTGATTTACGGGGACGAGGGGAATAACAGTCGCAATGCGTCGGCCTGAGAGATTTATGTCAGTCTCGAGGACAATAACGTCATAAATAAGACAAGTGTTTGTCGTAAATAACGTTATGCAAGTTTAATTAATTTTTGCTGGAGTACGGTTGAGTGAGGAAAGTATTGGATGGAGTTATTGCTGGTGCGGGATTTCGCAGTGGGTCAGTGATTATAAAAAAGTGGAATCCCATTGTTTGAATTTTTTTAACGATTCAGCAGTGACTGACAATGAGGCTCGTGAATTTTTTTTAGGCAATTCCAAAGGGGTTTGGCTTACGATAAAACTGAGGACACTCGGCCTTCGAGACACGAGTGTTCTCTTCAATTCAATGGGTGTTCTAGATTTTTTATCTGTAGAAACTACCGGGTATTTTTAGATCGCCCCCGAGGTGAGGGTTTCTTTACGAAAATTATGGGTCGGCTAACACGTCAATTTCTCTTATACCGATATGAAATTCTCCATTAAATTATCAGTCAATATATTTTACTCGGAATGTTTACAATATTGAAACTGAATTCTCGAATTTCTCGAGAATTCACTGGAAATTTCTAGAAAATTTAACCAATCACTTTTCAATCTTCAATTTTGTTTATATTTTTGTCATCAGATAATTCCAATGGAATTTAAATTTGATACGGAATTTTTATTTTTCGTTTTTGCACTTGGACTTGCAAATTGCAACAGTCCGCAGAAGAAGTGATGCCCTCATAAATTTCGAATGAACAAATTGGATGAAGCGGTTGATACTCCACGGGAGTTTATTGGTACTGGCGTTATCAGAACCGGAAAATATCGAGTAACGAATTATGTCGGGGGTAATAAAGTAAATATGGCTATCGCGTGTTAACGAGAAAATGTCAAAACACTCAAGAGAACTAGAATTGAAAGGGTTAATAGAGATGAATTTATTTATTTATCCATTAAATCATTATCTCACCAGTAACAATGACAAGACAATCGCGAAATGTCTAACTAAATTTTTGCATTCAATTATTTAAATAATTCAATCCACAAATACCGTTTGTTATAAACAAAAAATTTAATTATATAATATAAAGAAAGTTTTCCTCAGTCTAATTCAGTGTCTAGAGAATCTGTTATCAGTCTTTTGATATAAATATCAGAAAGCAAAAGTGAAATTTATGATTATGCTATGGCGGTATTAGTGGAATAAAATAAAAACTCAATCAATCACTCTCAAAGGGAATATAATTATAAACGAATCTTTCATCGATCTTTCTGGCTATTGAAAGCGTTTTGACACGCTTAATTGTTGAAGGTTACGATGAAAGTTTGTAAACTGCTTCCATGGCCTTTTACTTGAAAAGAAATCTTGTTTATAAAATTCCCTAAAAAATCTATAGTATTTTCACTCATAACAATTACTGATTGATTGTCAGATAAATAAATGGACACATAACATCTAGAAAGGATGATCGGTGCATAAATTCATAATAATTGGGGGCGATTATTGAGAAATATGGAGTACAGAGATGTGATTGTCCTGGAGTACTCGTGGGGGAAGCCCCAGGACGTCGTGAAATAAAGGACTCATTGCAATAAAATATATTGTCACGATCGATATCGCGTTAACGAGGTCTTATCCTCATTGTCTCATCAACGATTGGTCAAATTGTTGTGGACGTTGTCACGAGAAGATCCGGGAAGATCTCGAAAGGTTTCTCCCCGTGGGAGAGCCGTCCTTGATTGAACCAAACAAGGAACCCTTCTCATCTCCAATATTTACTCCAGCCCAAAGTCAATCCAGTGATGACTTTGCCAACATGTAGACGATATTTCGACATGAATAAAATCGATAGTACCTCGGGTTAAACAAGCGTTATCCCGATCGATACGATCGATCGAATTAAACCCGGACGAAAAAAAAAAAAAATTGAAATATAATTAAAAAATATTTGATGTCACACACTGTGACGTCGTGTTAATAATCCGTAGAACAATTTCTGGCTTTCTAAATAAATTGAATGAAGTGAAAAAAATGAACTGAAATTTTCGAAAATTTCGAAATTGAATGATTGAAACGAGAGAACATTTCAGATGCATTTAATTATTGGAATAGTCTTATTTTTTATTAAACAATTCCGGAATTCAATCCTCTCTCTTTTAGTTCGTACTTATGGGTACGTCACTAACTTTCAACTATTCACTTTCGACCCAACACTCACACCTGTCGGGGATATAATTGTGTCTTGCGCCACAATTATTCGTTCCCCTCGATGAATGCCTTCCTAATGATGCCAGTCCTCACAGTTTGAAGATAGATCCGTATTTAATCGTCAGGATAATTACCGCAGGAATTATAACCAAATATTCCCCCCTTTCAGAATAATTTTTAAGTCTCAAAATTTCCTTTCAAAACCCCAATTCAACGATTTCACGTACCTCAATCAATTTTCCAAAATATTTTGAAATTCATGACTTACAGCTCATTTTTTCCACTGTTAATAGTTAATAATTAATAATTAATAATTAATTATAACTAGTTACTGGAATTTTCCCATAAAAATTGCAAAATCAAAATCTCCATTAGACCGTTTGCATTTCCGGCATTTCCCATTCACAAATGAATATTTCTAATCATTAATCAGACCCATAAATAAACAATATTAAATAGCTGATGAAAAGGAGCGATAAAGGAGATGCGTGTACGCAAAGTCACGATTCTCTTCCGCGAAAATAAATAGAATTCGCGTCGCCGAAGGCCATCCCGACTTTGCAATTCACTGTTTAACCGAGTAAGGGAATTCCTCCTCGTGTTGCCCCGAAGGAGACGCCTTACCTCTTATCTCCAGTGCATCCTCCTCCGGGTGGTTTCTCTAAAAGCCCAGTGTTCAACCCCAGCCGTGCCTCTAACTCCCCCCCATATATTTTTTATCCATTTTCCTGATCAACAAACAGCAAACAACATAACGCCATGGTTTTGCACAAACACTTATCCCTGGTGCGTTTTCTTTTATCCGGTTGTGCAGACTCCTCTCAGCTATCAACTATAGTCGTACGTGAGTGCAAACTCCAGTGGATGAGGCAATGCCCTCGTACCCCATCCTCTTTTCTGCGAATTTCGCTTCCTTTGGAGATCGATAAACCATCCTGGTCAATACTCTTGAAAATCGTCGGTTAGACTCCAAGAAAACATGTCATTACGCCATCAAATTTTTATCAGACAAATAATGTGACTTTATATATGTAATCACATGTGTCGGATAATTATTTTATCGCCGAGTGATAAATTTTTCACATTAATTAATAGTTGATCTACCATAGAATATGACACTTGAAGCAGAAGTAGATTCAACGAATTTTTAAGTCAGTCTTGTCGGAAAAAAAATAAATAGAACTGTCAAGTCTTTAGTGAGAATATCCAAGAAATGAGGTGAAACCAGGTTGAAAAAAAAATCATCTAGGAAGTGACGATAAACTCAATTCCCGGACATGAATTTTCGTTGAACCTACGAGCAAAACCGCGGAAGAATCCCGGAAATGTCGTAACGCGGTCAACAAATATTTTTTGCTCATTACCGAGTGAGAATCTCTGAAATAGAGCATTTCCATCGACCACTTCATATCCCATATAATTTATAGTCCCACCTAACGATCCCAACAATTTATTCAAACCCGAGAAATTCTCATCTCACAAGTTTTCATTTACCCGGAAATACGTTATTTCCCACTGGAGTT